CCTACCCCCGAACATCCGATATGAGGCGGCGTATATTGGCGCATTTTGTATCCAAGTTGGCAGCGTTCCGGTCGCCACCCCAGTCAGTAAGGATCAAAGCGTTGTGCAATTCTGGCAAAAGGATAAACACTGTTATATGCAAAAACAGGAAAGCGTAGTGAGATCGTAAAAACACAACGACTTAAGGCCGGACATTAAGCAACAATATGAAATTCACTGTGAGTTTAGAAGGTTCTTAATACACAATAACAAGTTCAGTAACCTGAGTTAGTAAAGCTACGATATTCACGTTTTAAAATAAATTAATAGTAGGAATTTCGTGCGCGACTATCTTACGAAGTTGGATTAGCAATGCATCAAGAATTCAATTGGACGCCTGTTAACTCCAAATGTATAATTTAATAGACAAGTGAAAGTACGCGGAAATAACAAGATGCACACCAAGGCTCGATTGTAGCATTGACAGCTTACTGTTATGGAGGACAAAAATTTAAAACCAAACCTGAAAACAGATGAAGATTTGGTTACACGAAAGAAAACTTGTAGTAGCAACTGCTACTGTAAGAAATAGCCGAACATGCTTAAACGGCAAATGGAAAGAAAACTCTAGATAACCGATACCTTTGCAGCCTGATACTGTTATCTTTTCACCATTTAAGAAGGCGCCCTTTCCCCGTTCCGCATGAAACATTTGTTCAGTAATAGGGTTATATACAACGGAGGTTTGTGCCTGGGGAGAAGATTAGAACAAGTTGAGAGTACCATTTTATCAGTATAATATCCTATAGATATGGCGCAGAAGGGAAATCTAAGCTCTCATCAGGAAACAGTTAATCCTACTTGCTGACAAAATTAGACGTTCCGTCGATGGGATCGATAATCCAAGTGGGAGAACTCAAAAGAATGCACCGACTATCAACACTTTCTTCGGCAATAATCCTAAAAATTAAAATTTTTAATAAGCACTTGCTTGTGATCAGGATATTTCTCTAGGATTCGTGATTTTAAAAGACTTTCAACCTGCTTATCTGTGATTGTGACTAAGTCGGCGTACGATATTTTTTCTTCAATTTCCACGGGCTGGTTGTGGGCACTTTTTATAATCTGAAAAATGCTTACAAACGCTTCCTACTAAACCAGCTTCAGTTACTATCTCTTTTATAAAATCCAACATATTAGACGACCAGCTGATTTTCTCAAACGGGGCGTTCTCACGTAAACCTTCCGACCTGAGCTAACAGCCAATCAGAAAATAGAAATTGTGGATTTGTTCAATTTTTGGTAAAATATAAATGCACGCAGGTTCCTATAATCATATAGCCGGGTCACCGATTTAGAGATCAGTATTTTCGAACAATTGGAAGACGATTTGGTGAATTCTAAATTCAGGCGACTTTCTTCTTCCGAAGAAAGGAGAACAGCCTACTGCTTGTTAAGCGGACTCAGTAAAAGTGGCCTCTTCTTCAGTAGCCCGCTCTTGTTCAAATAAGCTTATAGAATGAAGTTGGCATATGCCCTTGAGTAGCCTATTTGCAACGCAGCATTGGATGAGCTGTGCAGGGAAAGCGTGTGGATTGTAATAAATCAAAGGAAACCATAAACGATATCTCTTGAGGTAAAAGTCCCTAGGGAGAAAGTAAATATGATTTCTTCGTAAAGAAAGAAAGTTAAGTAAGAAAGTAAATACCCCATACGTCCGGCTCATTTTGGAACATAACGCGCCATTAAATATTTTCCAGTGATGATGGAATCACAAAATCTGCGGGGTGGGCATTCTATGGCTTGAAACTGTGCAAAAGAAGGAGAACATGCGCGCATATAACCTCACATGACGAAAGCGGTTGTAAGTTCAAGATTCCTAAAGAAAGTGCCAGCAATTCAATCCGTTTATAATATGGAATGCCAGCAGGCTATTTCTGGGAATCAGTTTATAATTGAAAGGACAGTATCATCATTATTACGCTGTTTGCTAATGACAGGGAAAATTGATTCTTAACATTTTTCCTGGCCTTGTCAGCAATTTCGATCGTATTCTGATCTTGAATTCTGTAGAGTCGCCACGTTTGTAT